GATAACCAACCTACCTGACCTGTGAGCTTATGCAGGCAGGAAATTAGCATTACCTCCTTAATTTCTCACAGGAAAAAGGAAATGTCAAAGCAGATGTTGAGACTGACCAACATAAATGGATGCTGAATTTTATCAGTTGTTCGAGTTATCATATTTTATCTCTTTTATCCTGTTAATACAACAAACTGTATAAATTTACTTTAAAACGTTAAAACAACTTTGCACTCCTGAGAAATAAGCCTCATTTGGTCATGATGTGCAATTCTTTTCTTATATCAGTAGATTCGATTTGACGTTTTGTTTAGAATTTTTACACCTGTGTTTATTAGGGATATTGAGCTATAATTTTCTTTTATTATAATGTTATAACAGACTTGGTATCAATTTGGTTATGTTAACTTCATAAAAGAGGTTTGGAAATAATCCCTTTTTCTCATGAATTTGGGTAGATTGGTGTTACTTCTTCCTTTAATATTTAGAGAAATTTCCCACTAAAATCTGCTGGACTTGAGGTTGTTTTGTGGGAATGCCTTTTTAAAAAAAACAGCTGTCAACTGGAAATAGAACTGCCATATGACCCAGCAATCCCACTTCTGGGCATACACACCGAGGAAACCAGATCTGAAAGAGACACGTGCACCCCAATGTTCATCGCAGCACGGTTTATAATAGCCAGGACATGGAAGCAACCTAGATGCCCATCAGCAGACGAATGGATAAGGAAGCTGTGGTACATATACACCATGGAATATTACTCAGCCATTAAAAAGAATTCATTTGAATCACTTCTAATGAGATGGATGAAACTGGAGCCCATTATACAGAGTGAAGTAAGCCAGAAAGATAAAGACCATTACAGTATACTAACACATATATATGGAATTTAGAAAGATGGTAACGATAACCCTACATGCAAAACAGAAAAAGAGACACAGATGTATAGAACAGACTTTTGGACTCTGTGGGAGAAGGCGAGGGTGGGATGTTTCAAGAGAACAGCATCGAAACATGTATATTATCTAGGGTGAAACAGATCACCAGCCCAGGTTGGATGCACGAGACAAGTGCTCAGACCTGGTGCACTGGGAAGACCCAGAGGGATCGGGTGGAGAGGGAGGTGGGAGAGGGGATCGGGATGGGGAACACATTAAAAAAATAATAAAAAATAAAAATGTAAAAAAAAAAAGATGTAATTCACACATCATAGAATTCCCCCATTTAAAGTGTATGATTCAACAACTTTTAGTGCATTCACAGAGTTGGGCAATCATCCCCAAAATTTTAGAACATTTTCATCACCCCCAACAAAACCCCATGGACATTAGCAGTCACTTCCCACTTTCTCCCAAACTCCCCAACCCTGGGCACCCACAAAGCCACTTTCTGTTATCTTCAGATTTGCCTATTCTGTACATTTCATAGAAATGAATTATATAATATATGGTAGGAAGGTTTTTTACTTACAGATTTAATTTGGCTAATGGGTATAGGTGTTAAAAGATTTTCTGTTTCTTCTTCCGTTCATTTTGGTAAATTCTATTTTTCAAGAATTGTGTCCATGTGCTCACTTTGGCAGCACATATACTAAAATTGGAAAGAATTGTGTCCATTTCATCTAAGTTGCCAGTAATGTTGTCATAAAGTTGTAAGTAATGTTTTATGATTTTAATTTTTGTATGCTCTTTTGTGAAGTCCCCTTTTCCATTCATTTTATTGGTAATTTATATTTTCTTTCTTTTTTTTCCCTCCTGATCAGTCTTTCTAGGAGCTCTTTTGTTTGCTTTTTAATCTTTTGCAAAAATCAGCTTTTGGGTTTTCTGATTTTCTCTGTCATGCATCTGCCTTTTCTTCTGCTTATTGATCACATTTTTTATATTGGACACTGTATATATTTCCTGGATATTGTACATAAATGAACTGCAGAGATTGAAGTTGTGTTATTTTTCACCAGAAAGGAATCACACTTTTCTTTTGTTAGACAGAGTTAAGCTGAGTGAGAGCTCAGAATGCAGTTGTAGTTAGAGGCAGTGAGATACAGTTCTCTTCTGGTTTTCAACATCTTGATGGTGAGACTGCTTCATCTAGCAGGAATTTGTCTCCTAAGGTTCATAAAACTGTGGGAACTTTCAAACTACCTTTTCAACCCATACGCATCCGATGTCCCCAGGGAAAAAAAGAGAGGCTGGAGATCTCATCTCACGGTAGGGAGGACTTTTTTTTCCTCTCTGGAGTTTTGTTCAGATCTATGTATATAGTCAAAAGAATTTTGTCCTCTTTATTGATGGGTTTTAGTATCTTTTAAAACAATTTTTCTAACAACAATGTCCTATTGTATATTCAATATCCTGTAATAAACCATAATGGAAAAAATATGGAAAAGAATGTATACACACACACACATATACATACATATATATATACACACACACTATAACTGAGTCACTTTGATGCACAGCAGTAACTAACACAACATTGTAATTCAACTGGATTTCAATTAAAAATACATTTAAAAAATAATTTTTCTAATTTATCTCTTTGTTCTAGTTGGTGCAGTGGGATTGTGAACCTGCCATTTGCTATTAAATTTTACCTAAAAGTGAAAATCCCCTGGATAGCTTTTTAAAGAAATTTAAGTCACTAAAATCATCTTCCTTCAAACATCAAACTAGACTGGAAAGTTAACAAAATATTACGGTATATAGCTATTATAATCTGCACATTCATTTTAGGGAGATTGAATTTATGCTTAGTGGTTGCACTATTATGGGTTGTATACTTTATGGCTTATTAGGGCTCCTTGTATAATCAAAATATGTGATTCATCTATGACTTGAAATGAGTGACAGTGGGCACAGCAGAAAGAATGCTAAACCCTTGATGGTCAGAATACTGAGCTTTAACCTGAACTCACAAAAAGCTCAACCAGGAAATACTATGAGCACTAGTTTTCCGGAGGACACGTGGGAATAAATGTATGCTAAGGTCCTTATTCTACCTGTTTTAATATTAGGTTATATTTTATTTACTCCTAAGACAAACATGTCAGGTGTGAGATGAACACCTGGGTATCTGCTCTCCAATCCAATAAACCTTACAAATGCTTTACAAGTACCACTCTCAATACTCTCCTCCTCTCTCCTTTCCTAGGAAGGATTCATCATCCTGAACTTTATTAGGCTTATCATTCCTTGAATTTATAATTTTTACCACATCTGTAGGCTATCCCCGAAGGACAAATTGTCTGATTTATAGGCATTTAAACTTTACATAGTTTTATACTGTGCAAGTTCCTCAGTGATGTTTTTTTCCCTCAAACTTCATGCTTATGAGATGTGACAAATTGATGTGGGTAGTTGTAATGAAAGACCTAATTCTTGTCCCAAAGTGATTTTGTGCTTGTTTCCTACACTATAAATATACAAAGAGGATAATTTAAATTGAATCATCTCTCAGTTCTCTCCAGACCTGAAATTCTAATCCTACTTATCACAGTAAGTATAGAGGTGTACAGTTTACTGCAAAAGTACAGCACTGATCATAATTATGATTTGACGTCGATTCTTTGATCAGAAATACAATCCCCATGGGCAATGTGTCATGATATCATTTTTGGACATTTTGGCAAAATTTCAAGATTACTTGAATACAAAACTTCAGTATGCAAGACAAATCATTTAATACCAGGTTTTAAGTGGTACATGCAATGATCAGAAAAGACAGACTTCACAATGCAAAAATGCAAAGTTTATTTTCTTAAATAAAATACTATATTCATATCTATACAAATAATTATTACAACCATTAAAATGTTACATTTACCAATAAAAATTTCAAAACTTTAAACAAGAGCATGGTTCAGAATATTCACACCCTAATACAATGCATTTGTAAAAAGATGTCAAAATAAACAGGACCTATTCTTATTTACAACTGTAGGACAATCCCGGCCATATTATACGTATCTCCTCTGAATTCATTACAAAACAAATTAGTTCCCATTAGAATTATAAACCAGGTGATTTACAGTAATAGGACACAGTGCACAGCAGACATTGCTGGCATGGGAATAGATACAAATATTACAAATACTGAAAGCACTAGATTTTTTTTCTGGTGACTGCCCTACAGTAAGCTTCTCACCCAGTGTATCTATCAATAATGTGTGAAGGTAACTATGTTCTCAGATTTTTCCACCCACTTTTACTGAAATGAATATATATGTGTATATATGTGTGTGTGCGCGCATATATATATATCTCCTGTTGAAAGTGGAAGCAAATCTTTTCTTCACAGTAACACAACTGCAGCATTTTAAGCAACACTGTCTGGTCCCTTTCTTTTGGAAGATCAACAGTTCAATTCCCCCTAAAAGTTACCAATATAGTCAAATCCAGTGCCTCAGTGACCTCACAGATAAAAAACAGTTTTAAGACTTAGGGGGTGGGGGAACAGAGATCTAGAAAAGTGAAGAGAGGATTGACATGGAGTAAACTTTAAGTTCCTATGACATAGTATGGTGTATACCTGTACATAACAATTGAGGGGAAAAAAAAGAATTCATTATTTTTTTAAAATGTCAAATTACAAATGAAGACTTATCTTCTATGTCTCATGAAATCCCTAGCGACAGACTATGCAATCATCCAAAATAACACCACTTTCAATATTATCCCCAATATTTTCAACCCGGGTAGGCTCATGTTTATGAAGCATCTGAACACATGCGTGCACCAGAAAAAAAGACTACAGTTGACAAAGTTTGTGCAAATCTAGAAATAAGAATATTGAATGGCCACCACATATAAGCTCTGAGTTTAAAATGAGTCTTGTATCTAACTAGTAAATTTTTTTTAATAAGATCAGCATTAAAGATGGCTCAGAGAATGATAAGGCAACGTCAGTTGTATTTGTCATCTAGATGTTTGATTACACAGCATGTACCAGGCTGGTCCTTTGCCGTAACAGAGGAGTGGGTGAGTGGTATGTTCCAATGGCTGGTCCTAAGACCAGAGGCACAGTTGCAGATAAAGTGCAGTTTCCGGGTAGAGGCATGTGGGCACAACTAGAAGTTCTGTGTCTAAGAAGGTCCTCAACACTTCTTCCCAGAACACCACAATCTGAACTCGATGACCCCCACAGACTCCAGCAGAAACACTCTTAGGGCTCACACAGAATACAGGGAGAATATGATTAAGTAATAAAGGACCCTTTCCTGTTGAACTCACAGGGGAAGGAGAAATGGTTTCATTCAGCCAAAAACTTATCAGAGAAGAAACTAATTTCTGGCCCTTAATTTGCATAAGTATATCAGAAATCATCACTTACTATTATTGCCCTCTAGAAGTACACAGCCATAGGTGATCAACAAAGGCAGATTTAGAGAGAGCAGAATTAGAACAAAGACTGCCAGGTTCCTAAGGCTATCAACCCAAAGCCATCTGATTTTGCCCTTTCTTTACTCCTCCATGGGGGAAAAAAAACAAGCTCTCCAAAACAAGGAACAAAATTATATGGCACATTAAATATTTTCAGTCAATCTTGAATTACTTTTGTTTTGGGGAATTCTCTTTGCCCCTTAATAGAATACAGTGATTTCCAAAGCTAGGTCTTTGGGAATCATTGATTTGGGAGTATGAGTATGATCCAATGACTCTGGGCCCAATAAATGTTTCAAAGCAGAGGAGTAATCATTTAGCTAAGGAATGACTGGGTTCCCTGCCACTTGTTTGACAGACAGAAGAAAATAAGAGCCTAGGGTACTTTGCATCAAAGGAAGAATACAGCTAAGAAGAGTCTTAACCTTTTCTCAAGTTCATCACTCCCATTAAAATGTATTTCCACACTTTTTGAAGTATAAATATCAGCCTCTCTGTGAAATGGCTAATGTTAGAAGGCAAGAGCAGGGCAAATGAATTATCTTTAAAATATTTAAATAATTTGTATATTAAGAAGGCTAATTTTAAAAAGTCAATCCTCATTGCAGTTCACCCTGAAATATGACTGAAAATCACTGAAAAATAAGATTCCCTCCTCATTCTTCTTTCCACAGTTCTGACACATTAAATTTTATAAAGCATGATCACTCTGGAATGTGCACCCTTTACTGCATGATCACTCTAGAATGCACAATCTTTACTTAGAAAAAGGGTACCATTGCTGGAACACCCCAAAGGTCTTAACAAACAAAAACAAACTTCCTGGAATAGTATAAAATATCCCCAAACAACTTGTATGTACCAAAAAGAGAAATGACATCAAAGTTGATTTCTTTTATCCATGATTGACACATTAGAAATTTTTGTATGGTAAGAAATATGAAATTTTTTACCCTATCAGAAGTTGCTGTGTTAAATGTTTAGAGGAATCAACACCTTTCTGAAATTGATTCCAGGTGATCAGTAACACTAGGAGAGAAATTATTTAATCAATGTTTCACTTATGCTTCATACATGTTTGTGTTTCTAGAAATTACAAATTTATCTGTAGAAATGATTTTACATTCTGTAGACATATATTAGCAAACCATGAAGAACATTAAATTTACTATAACCAAAATTGACTATGTTCTCTGCCATTTGTTTGCCAAAAAAAAAAAAAATCCAGATTGTTATATACTAAATAATAAATTTCCTTGCCCAAATCATGTAGCTCTAATTATCAAATACTTAATACTGCTGGTAAATCTCATATAATCATGATTATAAATCAAGTAAGATTACTGTGCTCTGAACATTTTCAGAATTGAGTTTGTATATAAACACATACATATGCATATGTCTCTAAGACAATTACAGCTATATGGAAGCAGGGGCCAAATTATTTGCAGATGGTCACATCTTTCCTCAGATGGTCAAATAAGGGGTAGAGACTCATTTGGAATCAAAAGTGTTGTATGCTTGGAATGAAAGTTCTGAGGAATGTAAATATTATCTCTAAAGAAAGCTTAGCAGAAAAAGACAATCGAGACAACAGAGAAATATCTGCAAGTACCAGGCTTGAGGCCTTTCCACTGAATGTTCAAATTCAGCTTCTACTTAGCCTGTTACCTTAGTTCTGATTTTACCTAACAGTCCCCAGTTTTTCAGAACTCAACAGCCACTGTGTGTATGCGCGTGCATGCACATGTGTGTGCGCGTGCAGGAGGAAGAGAAAGAGAAGGTAGGAAAGAGAGAGGGAGGATAAATAGCCGAACACACTAAGAACAGTTCTTGAAATTGGCAGATTAGGCCTTTCAAGTACAAGAAAAAACTTGAATGTTAAAGCTTAAAACTCAGTTAATTTAAGTTATAAATGTCATATTTTTTCTCAGTTAAACGTTTTAACTGTTTACCTGTTTTCTTGTTTAAGTAACTTATTCATGAAGCTCTCCTATTTCTCATGACCATTCTGAAGGAAGAAAATACAGACATTTTCCTTGTTTTTAGTATATTTTTTGCGCCGAGGAGGCTGCCTCCGCCAGCAGCAGGGGAGTTTGGTGAGAACAGCTAGAGAGGCACAGATGACCCTTTTGCTGAGACCCTTTTGGGTCTACTACAAATGCTTTTGCTGCAGTAGAGGTATTCCCTAGAGTTATCTGCTCTAACCAAGCCCTCTGCGTGTGTTCAGTCGCTCAGGCCTGTCTGACTCTTTGTGATCCCATGGACTGTAGCCTGCTAGGCTCCTCTGTCCATGGGATTTCCCAGGCAAGAATACTGGAGTGGGTTGCCATTTCCTTCTCCAACCAAGCCTTAGGAGGCTTTTTTTTTTTTTAAGTGAGAATAAAACCAAAATGCTGGTCTGTGGGTTAACTTTTTTAACAGAGCAGACAGAACAGTTTATATCTCCCACTCCATTCCATTTTTGGCAGAATACAAAAACAAGCAACAGGCTTGAAATATGAGTACACATCAACTGTTTTCTTAACTTTTAATAAAGTTTTCAAAATGCAATAAATGAATTTTGAATATATATGTTTAAAATTCAAAATTCATTATTAATTTCAGTGGGGCTTAAAAAAAACTCTATATCAAGTCCGACTCTTCAGCAGGTCTCATGTGCCAATTTCCTATTTTCAGATGGCAGGCCTATTTTGAAAGAGCTAGTTTATACCTTAAAATCTATGTCCAAGTACACACACACTCACACACATGAACTTATATAAAGACAATTTTTTGAAGCACCATTTCACACCTACCATGAGGAAAAGCAATGAACAAACTCATCTTCTCATTGTAAGTCTACAATGAAGGGTAATAATGCAATATACAATGCCATATCTTAAATATGAATATCAGTAAGTGAAAATACTGACAGAGATTAAGACTCTGTTCAGAACTATTTGAAAAGGCTCAAATCACTGTAGATTCCAAACACTATTTAGTGATCAGTCCCTAATGATTAAACAAATGTCAAAGAACCTACTTCAAGATCAAATAAATAGAAGAAAGAATTCTACAACAAAACTCAATGAATGAAACAATCCTTAACTGAACACATGCAAAACCTCACAGTACAACTGGCTATCATCCTTATGGCCTGATGCAAAATGCAAGGACAAAATGGAAAACATCTATGTACTCTGCTGTTTAGCTTTCCACTTTTAAGGCTACTTGTTTAAGGAAGACCTTTGCTTTATAGGATCTTAGAACATTAAAGGATAAAATAACTGCAGATGGTGACTGCAGCCATGAAATTAAAAGATGCTTACTCCTTGGAAGGAAAGTTATGACCAACCTAGACAGCATATTGAAAAGCAGAGATATTCCTTTGTCAATAAAAGTCCATCTAGTCAAGGCTATGGTTTTTCCAGTAGACATACATGGATGTGAGAGTTGGACTATAAAGAAAGCTGAGTGCCAAAGAATTGATGCTTTTAAACTATGGTGTTGGAGAAGACTCTTGAGAGTCCCTTGGACTGCAAGGAGATCCAACCAGTCCATCCTGAAGGAAATCAGTCCTGGGTGTTCATTGGAAGGACTGATGTTGAAGCTGAAATTCCAATACTTTGGCCACCTGATGCGAAGAGCTGACTCGTTTGAAAAGACCCTGATGCTGGGAAAGACTGAGGGCAGGAGGAGAAGGGACGACAGAGGATGAGATGGTTGGATGGCATCACCAACTCAATGGACACGAGTTTGAGTAAACTCCAGGAGTTGGTGATGGAGAGGGACGCCTGGTGTGCTGTGGTTCATGGGGTCGCAGAGTCGGACATGACTGAGCGACTGAACTGAACTGATGGTTCCCTAATTTGGAAAACAAGACATGGAATTCAGATAATTTATGTATTGTTATAATTAAGGAAGAAGCTTCTACCTAAACCAAACCTTGGGAATAAAGGTTGATTCAATAACTCACCTATTTGCTAACTGCTTGATTTGAATCATGGACATTCATTCTACATTAATTCAACACCTGCCATGGGTAAGAGGCTGTTCCAGAATACACTTGGCCAGCATTTGGTTACGAGCCACTGTGTTCTATTGAAATTTCTGTATTGTTGGAGAGCAACTCAACTATCTCAACTATCTATTTTACAAATTACCAACAATCAAATTTAAAATCTAGGTTCCTTCCTACTACCCAGGACATGCCAAGATGACTTCCCCCAACTTCCAGTTGATTCGTATCTAGAGAATGTCAGATTAAAAATCAAACCTGAAAATGTCAGTCTGCTTGGGAAATTTAAAGCGCACACTGTGCAATTAAGATGAAAGATAATTTTTTTTTTACAACCTAGTATGTAACTAATCTCTGACATGGCTTCCCTACATTCAGAAGATAACTGGCAACTGATTAGACAAACACAAGGAGATACACTCACACAACCACTCTCTTCCTGTGAATGTATATGTGAACACACAGAAATACATTTGTAATCTCGTTACACTTATGTTTAGTCAATCTGTATTTAAACAGCTGAACTGCAATCATGACCTAAGATATGGCTTATGTTGTGGGCAGGTCTGTTGGAGGACTGCTTGGAAGAGTCTGAGGCAGAGGCGTTTGCTATCGTAAGCAAAGGGGACATCGCTGAGCCGTCAGGAAGAGCTGTAGCTATTTCTGGAAACAAAGATGTCATATTAAAATTGGATAAGTGAGAGTTGGTCATGTGCATTGGGGGCATGTCGGGGAGAAGAGGAAAACTTGGTTGAGCAAAGCCAACAGGTCGGGGAGGAGACAGAATTGATCCAAATCGGTTATTCAAACTTCCACTGTTTACCTTCTCTGTGCTGGGATTTGAGAACATTTGATTAGAAAAATAGGGGATTGAAATATCATTGGACAGTGTGGGATGAGCAGGAGAGTATGGAGGATAGAAGGAGGGGAGAGTATTTTGGGG